TGTAGCTTACCACCATCAGTGTGTGAATGATTGAAGTGCAAAGTGCTTTTGGGGTCCATATGGACTTGATAAAGTTAAGATAAGTTCAAGCCATTTACCATCTGAAAGAAATATTCTGAGTCATAAAATAAGAACTTAATTACTCTAATAGGCAATTTACTTGTGGCAATAACTTAATCATCATGACACCAACAGAATTTAGTTACTGAATTTATCATGTTATCAAACTATTAAATATGTTTTATTAAATGCTAGATTATGAAACATTACTTTTATTTATTGGATCTTTACTTTGATTTAATCCCATCATGAGAGTAACAATAAGAGGGATTAGACCTCCAGCAGGACCAGACCAATAGAGGGAAGTCATTTGGCTGGACCACATTATTGAGTTTCTGCTTTAACATTTGTTAAAGCACAACAAAATTAAGGGGCTGCAATGTGGACTGGGTCTTTTTTCGATGGCAAAGACCAGAAGAAAGTGGCAGGGAATTTGGATAGCCTTCAGCTTTATTCCCGCCCTTACCTCATCGTATGCCATCTAGCAACTGTGGTGGGTAAACAGAAGCAATGAAGATCAAAAATAGATCAAAATTAGCAAAATATTAACATATTAATATTATCAACATTATAAATTAACTAAATTGGGTTAGAGGAAATACACGAAGAACTATGGGACTGACTCTGATCTTTAGTTCTTTCCATAGATTTTCTATTGGATTCAGGTCAGGTGATTGGCTGGGCCATTCCAGCAGCTTTATTTTAATGTTCTTAATGATGTTCTTTCCACGTCTGAATCATGGCCCCAACAGTGCTCACTGGAACCTTCAGAAGTTTAGACATTCTTCTGTAACCGATGCCATCATTATGCTTTGCAACAATAAGGRTGTGAAGGTCTTGAGAGAGCTCTTTACTTTTACCCATCATCAGATGGTTCTTGTGTGATACCTGGCCATCATTTGGGACTGAACCAGCTGATATTAACTTGCACTGACAAGGGGCAGGCTTGCTTTCTAATTACTGAGAGAGTTCAGCTGGTGTCTTGGATTTCCATGCCTTTTTACACCTCCCTTTCTTCATGTGTTCAATACTTTTTCCCTGTGCCATTCCACATTATTACAAATAACTTCATTTCTGGACATTTATGGTTTGATTTCTTTGTATGTATGGATCACTTGGGTTGTTACCGACATCTGGTGAAAATTTCATGTCATTAGCACCTCTAGTAATATATTTACTGAGAAAAATGGTGACGTGTTCAATACTTATTTTACCCGCTGTATGTCTAAGGCTGAATCCCAATACGTATTGTCCAAAAGGAGACTCAATTCAACTGCTTGTTCTTGCAGGTCTTATGGACAGATCTTATCTCATGGCCATAGGTGATGGCTGGAACAAAGATGGCCCGGTAAATTAAGAAACTTCTTTTTAAGAAAATATTTCATTTCTTCTTTATGCTTTTGGGTCGGGAACTGGCTTGCATCAAACACAAACGATTTCATGACATTGTCATATCCAAATATGGCTGCGTGAATACAGTACAATCCATCCTGTGCAGCAGCACAGTGAGATGAAAAGCAGGTTTCCTTAGCTGGTGTGAGACAGCCCCTCACTGAGAAGCAGCAGAGAAGTGAAACCAGTTCAAACAAACACGCCCGTCACAAAACTTTGCTTTCAAACCCATTTAGCAACATTTATGTTTTGTTCATTCTTTCCATTAATGATTTTTAAAAAGCTCTATCAACCTTTCAATTGAAACAAAAGTGATTTGGTTTCCCACGCTGCACCAAGCACACACAGTGATGTCACATTTACCACAAAGATCCCAATACTAGAGCCCTCTTAATGACCTCAGAAGACTGCCACAATGTTCAGAAAGCTGCAGAGAGCTCAAGAAGAGGAAATGTGCTTCCTCTAATCAGACTACAATGTCATTTTGAAAAAAAATTTAATAAAAATTTAATCTGAAACATTTTTGCCTTGATTTGTATAAAAAACGAGATTAAAAGCTTAAAGTTGGTTTATAAATAAAATGAACTACATCCCTAGCTGAATTTTATTTGTAAAAAGTAAGCCTGTCTTTAATGATGAAGAAACAAATATCCTGTAACTTGTCAAACTACCAATCAAATAAAAATTATCACCTGCTGCCAAAATTTGAAAGTGGAGCTGTCATGTTTTTAGTCAATGTGTGAGTGACAGATTTCAATGAAACATTCAGTAAAGTAAAGTAATCATTAGTTGAACATCTTTAACTGATTAGCTTTTATAGTCAACCCAACTGAAGGTGGCTACTACACGCAACTGACTTTAAAACATGGCAATAACTCAATATACCCAGATACTGACATGAAAATTGGACAGTTGAGTCATTCACGAGACTTACTCACATTTCACAGTGAGAGTGTTCCTCTGTAAAATAAACTGAATTTAATCAGATTTTGTGCATGTAATGCATGATGTCCTCTTTACACAGAGTTTTTAAAATTACAATCTTTTGGAGGAAAAAAATGGCAATATATCACCTTGCTTACATTTTCACAATATCTTGCTATTTATCATATCGTGATCAATATCACCAAATTATTGCCAATACACAGCCCTGGTCATGAACAGCTTTACAGAGTGATTTATACAGGTTAGATCAGAGATTCTTAACCTATGGGCCGCGGCCCAGCGCCACTTTGATGGCCTCAAAAGAACAACAGTTTTTAACTTTAGGCCGCAGAGGGCCGCATTGATTTTGAAAAAGGTGCAATACACTTTTTCACCACTAGTAGCAGTAGTGCGCCACTCAGACGTTTAACAACCTTTTTAATATGTAGAAGAAGAACCTTAGAAACCTGCCGAGAGTGGAAACTTATTTTAAATGAAAAGTAGAAGCAAAAATGAAAGTAACTCATCAAAAAACACCAAAGTTTGTCAGTAATATCAAGTGCAGCTTCTGTTTTTATATGCAATATTTTAAAAGTTCAAATCATTATCAAATACAGTTGCAGATACAACTATGTTTAATTTGCACTTTAAATTAATTTTTGTAGTTTATTTTTAAAAATTTTAATGTATTTTAAAGAAACTTTAAACTTG